AAGCCAAGGCTGCACACTGCATTTCCGAACGCCCGATCCGAGAAGCGAAAAATCCAAGCTCCAAAGTGACCGTGTTTCTGCAATTTGGAGTCACATCCCTACACAAGGCAAAACTGATTATGCAAGTAAGGTGAGGTATTTTAATTTAAAATTTTAGCTATTTCTTAATTCCTAAGAGCGGTCGTAAATATTCCCATATAAACTCTCGCCATGACTCTTATTTCCCAAGATGATCATCTCACAACTGGAGCTTGAGCCGACTTTGGTCCAACAGGCCGCGGATGAAGTTATACAACTGGTATTTCCATTAAAAGAGGAAATGAAATTTCGTTTCAATTATCCATTGGTGCGCCTCTGTTTGACGAAACGGATTACTAACCAACAAATAGCATAGGCTATAACAGTCCAAAATCTGACAAAAAGGAATCCAATATTACTTTTTTGTTACAAGATTTGAGAGCATGGACCAATCGTTCAAAATCACACTATGGTCCACGCGGGATATCACATGATGGTTCACGTGGTATCATTATTAATAATGAGCGTTTGTTTATTCTATCCTAGCTTTTAACATCAATCCACCTTAACACTCTAGTCAGTTCAGCTTGGTCAGCGACGGAGTGAACTACAACAGACTATTTCAAATCGTAATCCAGTTTTGAAAATCAAGTGGCTTATCCTCAACATGTCTCTTTCAAAGCAGGTTAGTGAATTCCTGAAATTAAGCAAAGAGAGTCGAATCCACCCCGGTAACAAAAAATAAGGTAGAATCGTCCGAACGTAAATTGCTATGCCACTCCCAAAACATGCTCTTCAAACGTAATGACCTTACACTAAAATCAAGTAAAACAATAATTCTCATTAGTGAGCTTAATTTTAGCAATTGCAGAAAAGAAACTTGAAAATATTAGACTTCGACAGGATTCAAACCTGTGCCTCTCAGATACTAGCTGGGCGCTGCTGCTAACCAACTAAGAATCCACACGTTAGGCCATCCCAATTTAATGTTTCGTTTCCCATCGCCCTCCCTCTCGTGAGGGTGGGTCGGTCGGTCGGGCAAAACAAAAAAAAAAAAGGGAACGAACACTTGAAAGGGCCTGGGTGCCAGGGAAGGCCGGGCTGCTAAGTACGAAAGCTTGGTTTCTCGAAAACGTGGTTCCTTCGTTTGATATTCTTTATCTACAATGGCAGACAGTAACTCATGTGCGCTTGTGATAAGATTACGAAAAGAGAAGAGAGTTGTGGCCTTACCTACGGTAAAGTTCGTTGACAAGAACTTGTCGTTTCAAGAAGTGTTTACCGATGTGAATGATGGAGATTTAGATGTACGTGTCAAATGCAGAGTGGGATTTAAGAAGCCTGGAGATGCAGAACCTAAAGATTTCGTTTCGGTCGATCTCGCAGAAAACATTGGAGCGATTTTTAATGCCCTCAGTGCGAACTTTGTAGATTTTATGATCATCAGTCGCCCCCATTATGAGATTGAAACTGACGAGCAAGACTGTTAGAAAGTTACTGTTTAATGAAGAAAGCTGTCTTTTCTTGTTCTTTTCCAAGAAACATTCCGTTTGTGTTCCAGTTACTTTTGCATGTTAAATCTCACATTTGGTCTTGAAGATATAATCGGATGGTAAAAGATGTATATTAAAACTACTGTCAAATGTCTAAAAAAGGCTTTAAAAACGTTGTATCGATGTTAATTTATGACAATTGGTGTAAATACGACAAGATCATGTGCTTGTTAATTAAAGTACTTGCCTCTTTGACTAGTGAATCAAGAATTGTTTTTTTTTTTTACTTTTCCAAAAAAATGGGTCGGTCGGGCGATGGGAAACGAAGCATTAAATTGGGATGGCCTTAGGAGCAATGGAAACTATTAAGAGCTAATGTCAGCATGCATCAAACAAACAGCGGCAAGTCACCCAAATTTGTTTTCCCTCCTACTTTCATATTTTGTAGCCCAATATGTTTTGGTAATTGGGATGTAGTTTTTTTGTAAAAATTTATTTTAGTTTTCGAGAAATAATTTTTTTCGTTCGACCGCTCGAATATGCAAATTTTCACCGTGAATATTACCCGAGTTGTGTGACCTCGTGTAACGAATGTACTAGACCTATGGTATTTCTGTGGACATAATCCTTTATTTTATCATCTAAACTTAATCCCCTGTCGTTACTGAAATATTTATTTTATGGTGAATATTTTTGTCCGACATACTTTTCCTATGTCGACAAGTAGCATCAAAACAAAGACAGTTTTAACAATGACCGATATGACACAATCTACTGAGCTTCAAGCTTTTATAAGACAAAAGGATGGTTATAAAGTTACTGTAAAAATTTCCTTGTGTATTTGTGTTGTTCTATCTTGAGACGAACTTAAAGTCCGGCAAAATTTACTTGATAGCGACTATGAAAAATACATGGTGCGCCTACTTGTCGCCACCGTTAATCACTACAATTTGCAAAAAAATCTTACATAACACTCTTACCTTGTTTATTTATGATTTTATTAGCTGTTTCGATGATCACGATAATTATGCTCTACCACATTCTAGCCAGATTTAAGTTCCAGTTCATATATCTTCTCTAACTTATTATATCAGTTGCGTGACAAGCGTGACTAGAAGTTCAAAGATGAATCAACCTCCGAAATACCAAGAGATGGGTTTTTTTCCTCTTTGCATGACATCTAGAAAAACCCTTCGGGAATTACTGCATTCAGAGAACTAAAATGTCCAGATCCATCAATGATTCCTTTGCCGGCTGAAGTCAAAGTATGGTTACAGTAGTCAGTTTGATTGACAAGCTACATACTGATTTAGCTAACCGATCTGTTTTGTAAGCGTCTCATCTTACATGCTAACATGGAGATTTGCTATTTAGTTAAATCGTTCGCTGGTGGAACTTGTGGGTTTAGTTATCGAGAAGACCAAGTCGTACCCTTGCATGATTGTTAAAAAGACATTTCATGTCACTTGCGGAGTTGCAAGTGACAAGTTGATCCAAAAAATGAAGTTGATCTTGTTTTGTCGCGTGCCGGCATCTTCGAGACGCCAAAAGATGTCGATGATTTTACAAATTGCCCCACTCACAGATCAAATCTCGGTGTTGGGTGGAATCGTGGTTCCAATAGCAGATGTAGGGGGCCAAAAGAAATGTCCGGCCATGGTAAAGGTAGGGTTAAGTCGATTCCAAAAGCTGATAGGGGAATTGGCAAGCGTGTATCACAGATAGTACTCAAGATGTCTGAAAAATTCGTACAATCTGACTTCGGTACGGAGGCTACCTACCACCGTGAGCAAAATTACGCGTGACGTCAGAGTTAAGTTTCGATTGGGAATTGGTCGATAGGCTATGAAAAATTCAGGCAGAGGCGGAGTTTTCTGAACTAATGACTGAACACTTTGTTGGCTTTCCGCCGTCTGGAGGGACGCGTAATTATGCACACGGTGGTAAAGGGCCCTTCCGCATTAGCAACTAGACGCTGGCAAAACATGTTTCTCCTCGCCAAAATCACATCAAAATTTGTCCTTGCTAAATGTCAAGTAAGCTGCACGTATTAGCACCCCAGGGGGACCCTTTACACGAGAGGGCGAGGGTGCGCGCCTCGAATTTCGAAAACGACCGCTATAAAATTGCAAAAGGTGTCTGAGGGAATGGCAACAATTAGCCTGTAAAAACAAGTGTTTATGTCCTATAGCGACGCTTGATCGCCGCTAGCTGGACCGTACGAATCTCACTGATCGACACAACAAATATCGCCCCAATTTCTTTCTGTTAACGCCTCCTTTATTAAATGTCGTATTTGACCGTGAAGATTGTTGCCGGATCTGGCGAGAGTTGACACAAAAGACCTTTCCTTCCTTCGATAAAAACGACAGACAACTTCTTTCTATTAAACCACGAGTGCTTGCGAAATCGATCGAATTATTGAATTGCACAATAGATCCGTTCTGTTTGGAAATGCGATACCACTTACGGAACGCGTGACGAGGCACCTAGTGTGACTTTTACAGATTATTAATTAAACGATTACTAAATCAAAACAAGGGATAAACCCGTGCCTTAGGGGCACTTGCAGTCCTTTTCTTTCTTTTTCAATGCTTCCCTCGCTCCTACAGAGGATTCATACAAACATGAGAGCCATGCCGCGTTTACATTGTACAGGTAGAAAAGGTCGTCCAGAATGAGTGTTTCGTTCTGTAATGAAAACCCCAATAAACTCACTCAGAAATGACTCATTTCGAATAAATTATACGCTGGTTATTATGTGGCAACCGGTATGAACTCGTTCTTCTACAAAATTCATTCGGATATCATGTAAAAGGCCCCTAAAAGTTTTTATTACCAGGGCATCACGCTTTGCTCGCCTGTCTGAATACTAAAAATTTCAGTAACGTTGAAGCAACAACCCGCTTTAATTTAAACTGCTTACATCCTCTCTTAAGAGTTTTTCTTTCCCGTGGAAAATTCTGAGCTTCATCTTTAATGAAATGAATTTTATTTGACCTGCGGATGAAAATCAAGTAAGACGATAATCCTCGGAGGTGAGCCTCAATTTTCCCGGATGTTGTAGCCTGTTCTCAAGTAGGATTCGCAATTGTTGAGGGCACAGAACTTAAACTTTGGTACTGTTCATTATCTATTGATTAAGACAAGAGCCACCCACACATTATTCAAACAAAGCGTGGGAAACATAAAAAGATATTGTTTTTAAATGTTTATTTGGCCGGCGCATTTCAGTGTATCATTAAAATACTCAATGATGAATGGGAAATGGTCGTCAATAAGCATTATCAAATATATTTCTGAATAAAGTTGCGTTGCGCGTGACATTAAAATTTTGTATAAAAATATTCGGGTGAAAATAATCCGAATGTGATGAATTTATTTGCGTTAACAGTTAACTCAAATATAAATTCTGTTAATAAACTCACTGCGCGTGGCACATTTAAAAACACTAAATACAATTTTCTACGCTTGAAGGATTCGAAAAGAATGCAACATTATGTCAAGATGTAGATGAGTGTAATTCATACATCCATAATTGCAATGTTTTTGCTCAATGCAGAAACACTGTTGCTTCCTATAACTGGTCATGTAGACCAGGCTTCCTGGGTGATGGACGCTTGTGCCACGACGTTGATGAGTGTGAGGATGGGACTGACAAGTGTGATGCAAACGCACAATGCACTAACAGTCTGGGATCTTACGAAAGCACCTGCAATTCTGGATTCTCAGGTAATGGTCAAGTTTGTCAGGATGTTGACGAATGTCTGAACGGTTTTGGTGACTGTAGTTCCACAGTAACCTGCAACAACAAGGAAGGTTCATATACATGTTTGTGCAATGAAGATTTTCATGTAAATGGCCGTTTATGCTTTGACAATGATGAGTGTGGCGCTGGAACTCATCTATGCAGCGATCATGCCGAATGCCTTAACAATCAAGGGTCATAAAGCCGTTTTTGAATATAGTTTTTAACGTACTCTTATTATCTTCTTTTAGAGGAACCCCGAGGTCGACTTTTTGGGTCCCCAGAGGAGGACCCCTTCCATTTTTCTTTGACATACTGTAGTCAGCATTCAAATATGGAAACAGATGCTTCACTGAATACCCTGCCGACATGCCCTACGATTTTAAGCAAACATTTTCAGCTGGAATGTCGTATTAAAGGACATTTACATTTGAGGATGGAGGCGTTACCACAGCCAGTGGACATATTAGGTATAAAAGTTATGTTTACTATGGGATTGAGGAAATACTGTTCAAAAGAAAACTTCAAGTTTATTTTTTACACGGAGTAGGGAGCGCCCCTTTTGATGTGTAACTAAGTTGTGTTTCTCCCGAGAACGCTTCCTGTCTAATTACAGGGGAACAAAACTACACAAAAAGCATAATGACCAGAGAATATGCAGACTACTGCATTTTTACCCACAAAAATTATATCAAAAATAGCTTTCGTGTAAAATTTAACATTTTTTGGGTTTTTTTTTCCTATCCTCGCCTCCCGATTAAAACAGGAACGTGCCAACAGACATGTTAAACTTTAGATCCTTTCTCTTTATATAACTGAGAATATGCCTCAAGCATGATATAGACCATTGTGTTGTAAATCTAATTGCTAAATGGACGACTAGCTGACTCGTTTCGATTTAGCCTATTAGCTGTTAGGGAACTGTGCATTCCTAAAATGAGTCAGAAACAGAGCCAAGACTTTGTGACTGTTCACTTTGTTCTTGTGGGCTGCCTTATACCCTCAAAGATTACGTAATATATTATTTCCATCGAAAATAAATTCGCAATTATTAGAGATAAATCTGTAACTGCCGTGTTTGCATATACCGTGTCATTCGGTTTTGCTGACGCTGTTACTGTTGCTGAGGATTCAATTCAAGAACACAGTTGGCCGCAAATCGTAAGTTGTTAATTTTTTTCGGTATCGTGGGCGATTTTTTAAAATTGCAATTAATATATATGCTAAATGCGTCTTCGAGGTATCACATATGCATAGATGAAATGTTTTCTCTGGCTTGCATTCAATTTTACGACATTTCCTGGCTCCCTAAACTCTCTCCACTACCAGCGTTATCCTTAATATGACTTTGCTTCAATAAATAATTTGATTGCAGGCTTATTTGTCTGCATAAAGGGGGTAAGTTTCTAAAGAAACTGTGGTGCTGCGTCGGTAGGAGAGTATAACGGGGTAATTTGGGGTTATCAACCGAGTTGAAAACGTAAATTGGCCACCGTAAAGAGTTTAAAGGTTGAAGTTTCGAGCGTCAGCCCTTCGTTAGAGTGAAACTCTGTTATCTGCCTGCAGATCAATTGGCTCGTAGCACAATTTTTTGTTGAACCAGTGGCAGAGCTGTATAATTTGCATATTTAGAGCGTCATAACTTTCTACTAACAGAACCTAGGAATGTTTTCTGTTTATATTTTATGGCAATTTGGCAGTAACTGAACCGCTTGTTCCCTCATTAAAAAAAATCCCTAGAACACCTGCTTTAATTTTGGCCCCGTTAGGTTCAACAAAATTATCAGTTTCAAAGGGAGTATTGTAGTCTTTTCATGCTTATTAGCCATTGTGAAATATAAGAGCATATACTTTACTTAACAAATGGTGGAGTATTGTGAGTTACGTTATGTCCTAATAGTTTCATTTAGAGCAAAACGTTTTCAATTCTTTAATTCCGTTCCAATTCAATATTTTTATTATTACTTTTTGATATCTTATCCTTGTCTCAGACGCTTAAATTTTTAGTAAACCGACGGAACTTCGAATTTGAACCGATCCAAGTTAACAAAAATACGGGCGTTGCTTTTGACATCGAACTTATTATACCGTCCTATAGCTGTTGGTAATTCTCTTCCACGTTTTTCAGTGGTCGTAGAGAAAACGTAATAGCAAGATTTATGCATAAACCTTGACACATAACAAGTTAGGCTTCTTAATCATGGCCCTCAACCGTTCCGAATTGAAACAACTGTTCTCAATTGATCCTGGCGCCCTAATGTTCAAGAAATGAATTCAAATGATTGAAAGTAATACTTTATCAGTCTTTATATATCGTTTTTAAACATAAGTTTCAGAATTAAGTGAGATATACTTTACTCCATTCAACTGTCAACGTAATAGGTTCCGCTACATTTAACTCTGGCGTCTCGGAACCGTGACCGTGGAAACACTTTTGACCAACCAATGGCAAATTATAGTAAAGCTTCAATTTAAATGGAGAAGCAAGCCGCTAGATTTCACTGAAGCTGATGATTACCCTGTCTCAATCAATTCTTAGTGCAACCGGAAAAAAGGGGAAGTGAAAACGTGGCACCCAGATAAATTAACATCGAAGGTTCGTCTGTCTCTTTGCTGTACATCATTTCGTTGTCTGTGGTTTTGTTACACCTATCCTTAGGACACGCGTGCCATATCGCAAGCACGTCTTTTCGCAAGCGTGTCATGCCGCACGTGAAACGTGTCACGTGGCAGACTAGTTGAGTCAAAGGCTTGAGTATGCCACGCAAAAGCTGCCGTGCCAGTCTTCGCTTTGTCTATTAAATATGCGGATATCCATGAGATTGGCGACACGCTTAGCGTGCCGTGTCATCGCACGCGTGCTTGTGCCATCACCTTATTCTCTCTTTACCCGTGGAGGGTCACAAGTATGGAGCTTCCGACGTTTGAGTGGATAAAAACAAGCTCATGATTCATGACTGAAAATCTTCTTATGAATCTTTGATCTTGATCACTTTGCGTTTTTAAAAAAGTCTTTGTTCACTTTGGTAATTTCTCAAAATCATTGATACCGTGACATCAGGCCTTATTTGACGACTACAATGTGATCTTATTCAACTCTGTGTTAAACAATAAATTGTAATGCATAGTAATGAAATAATTCATCGTGGTCTGTCTTTGGATTGGAAGCAGCGTTGACTATTTTCCTTTTTTACTTAAAAGTATTTAACTGCGTATAGCAGGCCTCAACAATGAACATGTAACGAATATTGTAGCTTGAAATGACCGACCGCCTTTACTCCCTTAAATTTCTCTAGTGCCAGGGCTAACGTCAGAGTTTTACGATGCGTTGTTTTGATAATTTGTGTAAAAGAATAACAGAACTGACATAAATTGCGTCAAAACGGTATTTCAAAAGGTCAGGGAAACCATTCTTTTCACTAATTTCAGTCATCTTTGCTAAGTCTGGTTATAAATTTTGGTAAGTCTGGTTATAAATTTTGGTAAGTCTTGTTATAAATCTAGTTAAAACCCTTGGATGAAAAGCAACTTTCAGATCCAAGTTGGATAACAGATACAGAAAAGGAAAATAATTATTTTTTAATTTTATATCCAAATGGCGTGAAATTATTCATTGTCTCTAAAATTAAAAATTGTTTTGTGTTTAGGAATAATGTACATGTGTGCTTGTTGGTTCACATCCATTAAAATAATCTTTTCAGACCAAAACCTTAAATAATTCTTTCTTAAATTTTAAATTGAATTGATTTTGGTAAGCAGGAGATATTGTGAAGTTTGTCCAGAGCGGATGAAGACTGCTGAAATGTTCTTTCCTTAACTGAAATTTCAATTCACTTGATCAGTGGTGTGGAGGTCGGCTGAGGGATAGGTTTGAGTTTAGCGAGCCCGAAAAAAGCTGGGAAAGGAATATTGCTGCTGATACAATAAGTCAACGGCCTTTGTTGCTCTCTTGCGGAGGAACTGTAAAGCGAACTCTTGTACTTGGGGGGCCGTGTTTCGTTGCTACCGCGAATTCGTGTTCGTAATAGCGGAGTGCAAGACAAGGTTTATGCAATCGTAGCATATTTTTTCGTTTAACCAGTTGCAGAACTTTAAATTTTGCATATTCAAGAGCGTCATAACTTTATAAACACAGAGCCTAGGAATGTAATCTGATTATTTCTTATGGAGAGTTTGCGGTAACTGATCATGAATCTGTTTGTACCCTTAATAATAATTAAAAAACAAAACAAAATTCCTCTGGAACGCCCTGCTTTAATTTTCGGCTTTGTCAGGTTAAACAAAGTCATATCCAGTTTCAAAGGGAGTATTGTAGTCGTTCTATGCTCATTAGCCGTTGTGAAGTATAAAAGCGAATGCTTGACATTTTTAACTCATGAATTGCACGCATGCGCAAGAGCGATTTGTAGATATGATGTGGCGAATGGTACTCGCTCGCTCGCTCGATTTGTCGATTCCTGTAAACTTTTTGTCGATTTTAGGCTTTTGAGTGCATTTGATAGTTTTTGGTGAGTAATAAGCAAACGAAATGGCGACCTTTGTTGCTAAGAATTTTTGTGGGGTGAAAAAGAAGCCAATGATAATCTTAAAAGAGTTTATATTTATTCGTTTTGGTTTCAACAAGCGGCGCCAGCGAGGATTCACTCTGAAATAAGAGAACAACCTTCTTTTTTCATGAAATTGTAATTTACAGTCCTTGAACCTGAAAACAATCCGAAGATTCATTAAAAATATCATTCACTCGGAAGTGCTCGGAGTTTACAGATGTTCAAAAGCTTTTTCTGTTATGGCGTGAGATTGGGGACAAAATCGATCATTACATTTCGTATCGTGTGTTTTTTCTGTGTGAAGCAACAAAAGGTGCCGGCGGCTGACGAAATTACAGGTTAACACGAAAATAAACAAATAATTTTGGCTACCGATTTTCAGTGAATTTTTAAAGAACAATTTTCTTTTAAGTTTCAAGACAATTTGAAGATCCAAAATAAATATTACGTACTAAAATGCGAAAGTTATACACCACAAAATTGATAAATAGGCCTGAAATGAAATTCTATCTTGTTCTTGAATATATGTTACCTGGCACGTGACCAAAATCTACCCAGGCGGAAATCCAGAATGACGGTGGCAGTCTGGGCTTAGTTATATCACTCAAAAGTCGTTCCCGTGTTTCTCATTTGATAAAGAGGGAAATGTTTTCATTAAGACAATATATCCTTGATTTTCCAGTGACAAACAGTAAATTTCACCCACATTTACTTCCAACCTTTTCTTTTGAACCAGAAACAAAAGTGATATATTTTTAAAACATATGATATCATCCACCCTTGTCAAATGTAATAGCATGATCATTTCAATTGTAATGCCTTCTTATCCTAACGTTACTTTGTTTCTTTGCTACATTAGTGAACACTAAACCACTATTTAACTGTCAACGTAATGGCTTCCGCTATATTAAACTTTGGCTTCTCGAACCGTGACTGTGGAAACGCTTTTGACCAACCGATGGCAAATTACAATAAAGCCCCAATTTCTGCTTCGACAAAATGTGGTTATTTGCAAAATATGGTTATTTGCCTTTTTATCAAGAAGAAACAAGCCATTAGATTTCACTGAAGCTTATGACTACCCTGTCTTAATCAATTCTTAGTTCAGCCGGAAAAAAAAGGGGAAGTGAAAACTTGGCACCCAAATAAATTAACATAGAAGTTTCGTCTGTCTCTTTGCTGTACATCATTTCGTTGTCTGTGACTTTTGTTACACTTACCCGAAGGACACGCGTGCCATATCGCACCTACGTCTTTTCGCACGTGTGTCATATCGCACTTGAAGCGTGACACCGAGCACACAAGTTGGGACAAAGGCTTGAGCATGCCACACAAAAGCCGCCGTGCCAGTCTTTCTTTTGCTCATTAAATATGCAGATATCCATGAAATTGGTGACACGCTTAGCGTGCCGTGTCATCACCTTATTCTCTCTTTTCCCGTGGAGGGTCACAAATATTCTCTTTGGATACAAAGAAGCTTTCGCTTTTGATTATTGAACTTCGCCGTCTGCATGCGACACTCCAATCAGTTTTTACAGAAGCAGGCGATTTAACTCGACATATTACGAGTATTCTAGCTTGAAATGACCGATCGCTATCACTATTCCTGAATGAATTAAAAAATCACTAACAGAACTAACACCAAAGTTTTACAAAGCATAGATTTAATAAATTGTGTAATAGAACAACAGAACTAATAATAATTGCGTCAAAACAGTCTTTCAAAAGATCAGTGGCAATCATTCTTTTCACCGAAGAAATCTCATTCAACTTATATCAAATCTGATTACAGATGAATATGGAGAAAATATTAATCTTTTTTTCAACTATCTTTTCAAGTAGCGTGAAATTGTTCCCTTTCTCTTTTTCTTTTAGCTAAGGACGAATTTTAGGAAGCGTAGCTTTGACACTATGTGCAAAAGAATAACAGAACTAATAACTATTTCGTCAAAACAGTTTTGAAAAGCCCAATGCCATTTATTTTTTCCGCACTAATTTTAGAACTCTAGTCAACTTTCCCGGTTGATCTAAGTAAAAACATTATTCAATGTATATTAAATCGCATTACACAAAAACAATACGAGAATAATAGTTGAGATATATTTAACTATTTCTTCAAATGACACGAAATCGTTAACTGTCTCTTCAATTTAGAAATGGTTTTGAGTTCAAGTCAATTCAAATGCACTTTTTCAGTTCAAATCACATTTAAGGAGTTATCTTTTAACTTTGGCATTGAAGTTAATTTAGCAGGCAGGAGACTGCAATGTAAGGTTAGTCCAAAGAGTATGGATACTGCTGAAAAGCTCTCTTTACATCTGAAACATTCAGTCTACTTGGTCAGTACTGTGGAGGTCGGCTGAACGGCCCTGATAAAGGAGGGGGATTGTTTCGCCCAAGCCCGGAAAAAAGCAAGGAATATTGCTGCCGATACTATATGTCCACTCCCTTAGGTGCTCTCATGCAGTGGAAAGGATAAAGGCAACGCTCGTTCTTGTGGCACTGCTTTCCCTTGATACTACAAATTCGTGTCCGTATTAGCGGGCTGCCCGGCCAAAAATCACTTCGATATGTACTCATGTAGCATATTTTTCGCTAACCAGTTGCAGTGTACATTTCGAATTCACATACAACCCTTAATCTAGGGTACTTCAATAGATATGCAAAGGAAAAGTGCTATTTGAGTTACATTCTGAGCAGTAAAAATGGAAAAAAAAAAAAGGAAATAGGAGCTTCTAGTTGGCTTCCTCATTATTTTCTCTTTTGTATTTTGGGTATTCACGGGTATCTAACTCTTTCCATTCGCTTTAAACTTGCATTATGGTGGTAAGAAATGACTGCGGAAAGTATGGGATTTATGATGCATTCTGAACTTTACCACCACGAATCGAATACAGAGATGTAAATCACTCTGTAGATTGTGAGGTGTTTATTTTTGTGCTAAAGTCACAATTTCTCAAAAGTAATGTCACAATTTCATAGTGTCTAATTATGATGACCAATTGACTTGCTCAATGCCCATTAGTTAGGAAAAAGAGCAATTGTTCGGAAAGAGTTGTAAGTGGCTACTAACATGATTAGTACAAATTGAGAGAATGACACTACACACTTGATCATATCAATGTTTTTTTTTTAATTTTTCAACTGACTTGATCCGTATAACAATAACGTCAGAAGTATCGAGGTAATAAAAATACTTCCATCCCAGTTACAAAGGGTTAACATGAGCCACAGCAGTTTCTTCCAGCAGGACCTTCTTGCCGTCTTTGTCTTCAATGTCGGTCCTTGTAATGCGATGTTCTACGACGTGGTTCGGAGGCAGTGTGACCGGCTCCTTTGTTCTTTGGAAAAGGAAAAAAAACTTAATGAAATATAAAATATGTGTTTTACGTTCCCTATCAGCGTTGGGTCTGTTACTTGTTTTTTGAACATCAATGCTTTTGAACTTTGTTTTTTGGTACAGTGTAGATCAACAATTACTTGTATCAATAATAACTATTTTTCCATCGCCCTCAACATCTTTCACCGACAAGTGCAGGGAAGGAAACATTTTTAGCTGTAAAGGATATTATAGTACATAACCTTTAGTATCTTGAGAAGAGTCTTATTCGATCTCAAAAATTTTATTAACACAAGAAATTAGAATTAAGCCGTTCTTTCAAGGCCCTTTTCATCCCAGCGTTCTCTTCGGTTGCTTTTATCCAGTAAAACATAGAAGATGCAATCCAAATATTAATGCTCCAAAGGAATGATATTCAACTGTTGGAGCTGTTACAGAAACAAAATACTTACTTGTAAGAAGTGTGAAACTGGCAACTGTGATAACCGCCTCCTTTGAGCAGTAGGAACATAGTCACGTCACCTCTCAATATGTTGTCGGAGACGGTCATTTTCTCAAAGGAAGGGTCCCAGCCAATTGTCCTCTTTCCCATTATGGGTCCGTCGCCGGGAAAGTTTACGCCATGAAACATGGATATGTGTGTAAACAAATTGCCCTTAAGACTGTAAAATTAAGTAAATTTGACATATCAATAAAAATATTAGGATTAACCTTGTAACCGTGTCACATACCAATGTGCCCTGGAGAATAATGCGTTAGCGCCTTTAATTTTTGAGATTTGCCATTTCTGCTACGACGTTTTTCAAACTAAACCCATTTACTTACAAATGCCCATTTCAAAATTTAGTAGTCTCCATATTCGCTGGTCACTATGCTTTTTGTGTGGTTTGTTCCCATTTAGCTAGACAGGAAGCGTTCTCGGGAGAATCACAATTAAGTTACAATTTCAAAAAGGGCGCTCCCTTCTCCGTGTAAAAAATGACCTTGAAGATTTCCTTTAAAGAGTATTATCTCAATCCCGTACTAATCATCAATTTTATACCTAATGTGTCCACTGGCTGTAGCAACTCCTCCATCCTCAAATGTAAATGTCCTTTCATATGACATTCCAGCAGGAAAGGCTTGTTTGAAATAGTCGGGCATGCCCTTAGGATACTTAGTGAAGCATCTGTTTCCATATTTGAACGCTGACGACAGAATGTCAAAGGAAAATGGAAGGGGTCCTCCTTTGGTGACCCAATAAGTGGATTTCTGTATTCCTCTAAAATAAGATGATAAGAGTGTTGGAAATTATTTTCAGAAACAGCTCATGTATACCCTGAAATAAACGATAGATTAGGAACGACCAAATATTTTATGCTAATGAAAATTCAAACTTAAGTCAAACACTGCATAACCTTACATGTTAACTTGTAAAAAATTAAAGTATCGCAAATTAATTTAGTCGTGACTTAGCTCTGCAGTAGCCTTTACACGTCGCCGGACTCTGGAAGCAGATGAAGAAGGCGATGTCATAGACTGTAGGTAATTTGCAAACGCGAATAAAAACAAGTCATACTTTATGACTGAAAATATTCTTACGAATCTTGGATCTTGTTCACTTTTCTTTTCAAAAAAAGTCTTTATTGACAGTTGTTTATTTCCCAAAATCCTTGAAACCGTGATATCAGGCCTTTATCTGACGACTGCAATGTGATCTTATTCAACTCTGGTTTTAAAAATAAATAGTGATACATAATAATGATATAATTCATCGTGGTCTGTCTTTTAAGAGACACTTACTCGTAAGGCTTTCCTTTTCCTTCACCTTTCATCTCAAAGTAATGTCCATTGACACTACCCTTCATTTCAAATTCCATAAACACGTCTTCTGGGATGACCTGAATAAGGAAAAGGCAAAGAAACGGTTATTTTCTACTAATAATTGAAAGGCCTAAGACGGTTTTAGTTTGCCAGCGTATTACTCACTATCTGAAACGACTAAGATACACGATATCAAATAAACACAGTGCGCCTGATGAATAAGAAATGAGTATGCCCGCGCATTGATTTACTTCTTGTTTCCCCGCTACATTTTTGTGTATTTTTTGTTATTTTCAAAATATTATTATAAACTTGCGCTTACTCGAGGTGTATTATTTTATACCAAATTGTATTCATTGTTTTTAAATGTGCCACACGCAGCTAGTTTATTAACAGAATTTATATTTTAGTTAACTGTGAACGCAAAATAAATTCATCATATTTGGATTATTTTCACTCAAATATTTTTATACAAAATTCTAATGTCACGCGCAACGCAACTTCATTCAGAGATACATTTGATAATGTTTATTGACGCCCATTTCCCATTCATCAGTGAGTATTTTAATGATACACTGAAATGCGCCAGACTAAATAGACATTTAAAAACAATATATTTTTATGTTTCCCACGCTTTGTTTGAATAATGTGTGGGTGGCTCTTGTTGTCAGTGTTTTGCCACGTGTGACAGTATTTTTTTTGTGCGCAAACAGAAAATTCTTAAAAAATATTTTACTTTGAATATTTATAGATGATGATATCAGATTTAGTTGATGAGTTTCATTTTCAAAATGATAAAGTGGCTAAAAGAGATGATAAATGTTGTCAAAACCAAGACTTAATTCATGATAATTGGATGAATGATTGTAGTCAATGCGGTGAAGTTATTAATCATGATTTTGTGACTATTGTCATTTAAGTTATAGAAAAACAAAAAAATCAGTCTACCGAAGAAAATATCGTGTGAACAAGGTTTTGAATAATACGATTGATAACTACCATATCATGTTAAGCTACGACGAAATAAACGAGTTTTACCGTTTATTTCAAATAGTAGAACAGCAAATAGTACAGATGAAGATTCAAAGGTTTGTTAAGTTTAATTATATCTTCTTCAGAATCTAAGTTATATGGATAATGTTACAAAATACTTATTTGATAAGAATCTTGGTAAACAAACATTGACGAAATATGATAACGTATTTGAAGATATCGTTTTTGTTATATAATCTTATTTCTATTTTTTTTTTTTTGTCATACCTCTTATAATAATTATTTATGTTTGGTGTTGATTCATTGATTTATCATCTCTATGTTGTAATTTTAGTATCAGATCATGGTCATTGAATTCACCGTCACGCAAATATGTCTTAATTTCATTTAACATACTCTGTAGAGTGAAGAGAGCCAAATTGACCCGAAAAGCTAAATTGGCCTCGATGTCTTGGAGACCAATTAAGCCCTTCAGGGGTCGTTTTGGACTATTTAAGCCAAAACGGGTCGGACAGGTATCATTAAGACCCCTTCAAACTCTGAATTGGCCCAAACAAATTCTACTTTGGAACTTTGTTCTCAATTTGGCCCTTCCAAGAGTCAAGAAGGATTTACCAATTTGGCCCCAACAAGATGCAATGCTAGAATTGACTGATTATTGGCCCAAAATTGTCAAGGACAGATGGAAGTTCCATCACGACATAAGCGGCACAAGGACGTTAGGATTCGGGAGTGTAAAGGAGTACACCGGTAAAACTAGATCTTAAACGCGGACGAAACCATGAGAAACTATCGATGGGCTTAATCAACTTTATTCTGTGACCTTTTTAACAATCAAAATTTTGTTATGAGGCAATTTCCCTCCAAAATTCGTCCTTCTTTTGTTTGTGCGCCATAGCATGCAGCTTCATCTGCGTATCATATTGGTCGAACCTAGACTGCGTGCATCGGACACAATAATGAATTATAGTAGCACTGAAGAGGTTGTTTCTTGAATCCATTCGCATGGATTTTCTCCTGAGACTTATCATCTAATTTAATAACTCTTTTCAATCCTCCTTTTAGTTTTTCTTCAGTCTCACTAGTTTTATGATCTGGATCATCAATAAATGTATGGTCACTGAAAAAATTTACTTTCCGTCCTTTTGTTTCTTCTTTTTTTCTTTTATTTTGATCTGCAGTAACTGATTCGGTATCTACTTTTGAAACTATAATTCTTGGTAAAGGTACAAGTTTTTCTTTTTAAATTTTTGTTCTTCTCAAAGTTACTGGGTTTTCCGTAAAATCTTTGTTCTTGGTAAAGCTGCTGGTTTTAAGTTAGACACAGTTTCGTCCTCCAGTGGTAAGTACATTTTCTTTGTTCTTAGAAAACAGGTTTTCTATTAAACTCACTTTTCATGGTTTTAAGAAGTTAGTTTTCTTTAATTAACTTTTTTAACAAGTGCATTTAGTTCAGTTGCGTTCATTTCTATATATTATAGAAAGATTTTGATTTTAAATGCATGTTTTTGGCTAGCGCATTTCGGTGTATCATTAAAACGCTCAATGATGAATGGGAAATTGGCATGTATAAGCATTATAAAATGGATTTCTGAATAAAGTTCCGTTGTACGTGACATTAGAATTTTGTGCAAAAACATTTTGGTAAAAAAATGCCGCAACATAAAAAAAAACGCAGCTGGGAGCTTGTGGGATGCAAGAAGTAAACTAATGCGCCGGCACGCCCTTTTCCCGCCCATCATGAGCCACACGCCATTTGTCTCTCTACATAATTTTCCTACTCTTTGACCTTCTTTTAAAATATTTCCTCGAGCTTCAATATTTCATTGCATCAGAAACAAACACTGGACTGAGTTTAGCCACAAGGTGAGTGTGAAATTTGAGGACAAAGAATGAATTAAAAGAGCCATAACTAACACATGAAGACAGGTTAATTAGCTAGTACAGCGACACACTACGACGGCATTTTCTGTCAGTTGTTTGTGGGGCATGCACCCATTTCAGTAACTTTCCAAACTGGCGAAATAAAGCGATCAAGTTCAGTTTATCATTTAATTTTGCGTAGCAAAATTCTTTTCTGCCTAGTTTCATTAATGAGATGCCTAAGTATAAAGTGGGAGCTACACAGAATTGACTGGAAATAAACTGTAATGACTGGTTGGGGCTCATAAGGTGGGTCAACAGAATATTAGGTGAATCAACCAAAATACTTCAGCCCCTCCCCATAGTCGATAGATAATGAACAGTACCAAAGATTAAGTTCTGTGCCCGCAACAATTGCGAATCCTCCTTGAGAACAGGCTGCAACACCCAGGAAAATTGAGGCTCACCTCCGAGGATTATCATTTTACTTGATTTTCATCCGCAGGTCAAATAAAATTCATTTCATTAAGATGAAGCTCACATTCTCTACGTGAAAGGAAAACTCTCAAAAGTTTCCATTGCTCCTAACGTGTGGATTCCTAGTTGGTTTGTAGCAGTGCCCAACTAGTATCTGAGAGGCACAGGTTTGAATCCTGTCGAAGTCTAATTTATCAAGCTTCTTTCCTACAATTGCTAGAATTACAGCTTACATGCAAGGATTACTGCTTTGCTTGATTTTAGTGAAAGGTTATAACGTTTGAAGAGCATGTTTTGGGTGTGGCATAGCAATTTGCGTTCGGACGATTCTACCTTATTCTTTGTTACCGGGTAAGTTCCACTCTCTTTGCTTAGTTTTAAGAATTCACTAACCTGATTTGAAAGAGACATGTTGAGGATAAACCGCTTGATTTTCAAAACTGGATTACGAGTTGCTGTTGTAGTTCACTCCGTCGCTGACCAAGCTGAACTGACTGGAGCGTTAGGGTGGATTGATGTTAAAGGCTTGGATAGAACAAACAAACGCTCATTATTAATGATGATACCACGTGAACCATCATGTGATATCCCACGTGAACCATGGTGTGATATTGAACAAATGGTCCATGCTTAGTGCGCGTGTATTTGCAACTTAAACTTTAATTAAATTTAAAAGATGTCTCAAATCTTGTAACAAAAAAGTAATATTCAATTCCTTCTTGTTAGATTTTAGACTGTTATGGCCTATGCAATTTCTTGGTTAGTGATCCGTTTCGTCAAACAGAGGCGCACTAATGGATAATTGTAACGAAATTTCATTTCCTCTTTCAATTGAAACACCAGTTGGATAACTTCATTCGCAGCCTGTTTAGTCACAGTCAGCCCAAGCTCCAGCTGTGAGATGATCATCTTGGGAAATAAGAGTCATGACGAGAGTTTGTATGAGAATATTTGTGACGGCTCTTAAGAATGAAAAAATAGGTCAAATTTTCAACAAGAATACCCCACCTTATTTCCGGTGTGCATCATGAAAAACGTTTGGCATAATCGGTTTTGCCACATGCAGGCATGTGACTCCAAATTGCAGAAACACGGTCATTTTGGAGCTTGGATTTTTTCGCTTCTTGGATCGGGCGTTCGGAAATGCAATGTATAGCCTTGGGCTTCCCTTATGCAGTAAACCTAGAAATGGATAACTCGCTAAAATGGGTTCTTTTCAACAGAGTAAGCGGTCAGATAACAAGCGAGCAAATGAAATTTAATCACCACACCGTCTCTTAGCATCAACTACGGCTGCCAAGGAACGGTGTGGTCCCCGGCGAGGCACAGTTTGCAAAGAAAGCAGGGTTTTTTGTTTTTGACCTTGACTTTAGCAAAGCATTGACTAATTCAATAGTGCATTATCCAACTGTAAAAGCTTAGGGTTTAGCTCCCAATTGGCTTGTTAGCTCAGTTGGTGGAGCGCTGCACCGGTATTACAGATGTCATAGGTTCAAATCCTGTAGAAGCCTTATTTTCACTTCTGCTTAAGAATTGTTCATAACTGGGAGGATCGCTTCCGTATTCATTTCTTTCTCCACAGTTCACATTTATGGTTTTATATATATTTACAGTCTGTATTTTGATTTAAAGAAGGAATGAAATTTGATTACCACACCGTCACTCAATTAGCATCAATAAATTGTTTTAGAACCACGGGTGCCAATTGACGGTTTGGTCCTCAGCGACGCACAGTTTGCAAAGAAGGCAGGGTTTCTTTGTTCGTTTT